CTCTGGATAGAGCAAGGCACTTAGTTCTGAAAAGTGAGTATGTCATTAATGCTGCTTTCACTGCAATGATTGTCAATCAATAGGAGGATCAGCATGATACACAGGTTAAAGTGTTACCAACATGATATAAATCATTTTATGAGCAAGAAGATTGCAAAAAATTAAAACAGCGCGAAATCAAGCCTGTTAGAAAATAAGTCACCCTATGAAAAAGAAGATCTACAAAGAAAAATAGAAGATGTTTAAATCAATCGACCAACTGAGTAGCAACAGCACAAAACTTATGATTGAAAGACTGGAAGACACAGCTGAAAAGTTACCTGGGGACCCCAGGCTGTTGTGTTCATTAACATAACAACATCGAATAAAGATTCGGCGGAATGACAGGCTGAGCGCAGCCCAGTAACTGAAAAGTAAAATACAATTTTTAAAAGTAAAATACAATTTTTATTTTCCACAGAAGAATCAATACATATTGAATTATAAATATCCGATAATTCCATTAATAATCATTAAAAGTTGCTTCGTCATTTGTAAAATCAAAAACCGAAAAGCCGTACTCTGAACGCGCGCGGCATTTTTCTGCAGCTGCCTAGCTTGTAGCCGCTAACATCAAAGCCGCGGCGCGCGCCCAGTGCTGGGGTTCATTTTCATTAACAATTAAACTTGGTCAAACATATTTATATACAGTTCCTAAATTAAATCAATAATCATGTTAATATGAGTATTCAACACTACTCGACAACAAATATTTGCCGGCCCATCGACAATTTAGTCGCCGAAACAAAAATCAAACGTTTGCTTTTTCGTTTCGGGAACTGTTTGAACTCAGTACTATATCCGACTAATCTTACTTTATAATGGTTAAAAAACCAAGTAAAAAGATTTTCCTCGATGGGCCGGCATTCGCAACCGCGAAACTTTTTGAGTACGACAAAAGAAGCTAAATGTAAACAACTGTGGAACAAGAAGGAACGCTTCCTCAGACACAAGAAGCATAAAGAATCGACACCCTGTACCCTATCGGAAATCAGCGACTTCTCTTTACTGTCCATTTTGTCCCTGTTATGTCAATTTGTCTCGTTTGTTGACCATTGTTAATGGTCTGGCCCGGCGCGCGCTACTTCGTAGCACTTACCGTTTCGAGAAAAAATCGGCGCGCGCTACTTCGAAGAAATTTAGACGACTAACATCCGTCAACTCGTTTGTCTCTGTCCTTTTTGTCCATTTTGTCCATTTTGTCCCCGCCTTTTTTGTCTTTTTTGTCCCTTTTATCTTTTTTTGTCCATTTTGTCCCTTTTGTCCATTTTGTCCCTTTTGTCTTTGTCTTTTTTCAGTTTTTTTTGTGCAGGGACAAAATGGACAGTGGCACCCCCCCCCTCGGTAGTATTAATGATCAGGTCTGCTGGCTTTTAGAATTAGAATTAGAATTAGAATCAAATTTACACAGCAATACAATAAGAATAAAAAATAATTTAAGAAGCTTCAATCTGCTGTGCAGGACATTCAAGTCAGTCGAAAACTGTTAGCAGAACACCCTTCTAGGGACATAAGGATATAGTATGTAAAACATAATGAGTAATAAATTAATGAGTGATAAAATAAGATATGATTTAACAGTGAACTGTGGGCATGAAGGTAACAATTAAGATTACATAGATGCCCACTTTGGAATTACGTTAGTAATGTTATTTACAGATATACACAGAGAAGTATAGAACAATAATAGATTGGCAATGATAACAAATGGGAACGAACAAAGGAGATGTTTAAAGTTCTATACTTCTGGAAATAGGTCATATAACGCAGGGGGCCTTTCCACCCGACAAAAACTCCAGCACCATAAAATTTGTTTCAGTTGTCACATAGCTAGAGTGTAAAAATAGTCGAAACTATTGTTTATTTCATAGGATGAGACTCCTTGAATTACATCTGACATAAATTTAGATTTCATACATTGTGAGAATTTTACACTACATTCTATAGTCCTTATGTTCTCTGGAATTGTATTCCAACATTTTGCACCTAAATATGTAAAGGTTTTGTGTGTTCTGGATTTGTGAATATAAAGGTTGCACCTCTCAGCATCACGTGATCCTCCGGATACATAAGAAAATTTATCTGTAAATGATGATGGTGCAGCCTCATTAAGAATTTTATACATATACGTTGATAGATGGAGTTGTCTTCTTAAGTGTAAGGGTAACCACTTCATATTTCGATATACATTTACTGATAGTTCCTGCCAATGAACATCCAGAGCAATTTTTGCTACTTTCTTGTACAATATATCAAGAGAATTAAGTTTGGTTTTGGCAGCCCTACACCATATTATATCCAGGTAGTCAAATTGGGGGAGCATAAGAGCATTAACAAACATTTTTCTATATTTCAGTGGAAGAAGATTTTTCGACCTGTATAATGCCCCTATTCTTTTAGCAATTTTTGATTTCACATAATCAATATGGTCTTGAAAGTTCAATAAATTGTCTATCATGAGACCTAAATATTTTTGAGATTTAGTTTCTTCTATAAATAGGCATTCTTTTTCCAAATCCAGAGGGATTGATAACGTGTCCAGATTAGGTGATCTATCAAATACAATGAATGAAGATTTTGCAGTATTTAGTCTCAGCTTGTTGATTCTAAGCCATTCATACACTATTTTCATATCCTTAATTACATTCTCATATATGCCTCGGGAAATGTTATCAAAATATAGTGCACTGTCATCTGCAAATAGGTAAACAGTAGATTGTGTGCAATTTCTACTGAGATCATTTATGAATAAACTAAATAGAATTGGTCCTAATATGCTACCCTGTGGCACACCTGTTTTAACAGGGAGTGATGTGCTTACATTACCACGTATTTTGGTGTGCTGCTTTCTGTCCCCAAGGTAGCTTTTGAACCATTTTATGACAAAGCCATCAACTCCATAATACTTAAGTTTTTTTAACAAAATATTATGGCTTACTGTATCAAAGGCCTTTTTAATATCTAAGAATACAATTGCAGGTTTCTTCTGTGATTCCTTAGACGTAAATATTTTATCAAATAGATTAAGCATTAGAAAAGTGGTGGAATGATCTTTTCTAAAACCATACTGATGGTTGGTAAGCAGTTTATTTGTTTCAACATACTCTGTAAGCTGTTGGTTAACAAAATATTCTATGCATTTTCCAAGTAGGGGGAGTATGGATATTGGCCGGTAGTTATTTGGATCATTAGGGTCACCAGTTTTAAGAATTGGAGTGACTGATGCAATTTTACATGCCAACGGCATTGTTCCACTTTTCATACTAAGGTTTATAATATTTTGGTAGTGGTTCTTTAGATACTGATAGAGCGGAGGACAGATCTCATGAACATTGTGTAGGGCTGCTTCTCTATTAAGACGATTGAACGCATTATCAGCGTCAACCTGTAGTATTGCTTCAGTGTCACTGTCTTCCCAGATCTGTCTCATTGCATGAATGGAAGCCTCTATTCCTGATTTGAGCCCTGCACAGGTCTGCAGTGGGCCAGCAGCATATTGTATATCAGTTTTGAAAGACATTATAACTGCTTTTCCAATGATTCTGCGCAATATCTCGCCGATTCCAATAGGTCTTACACCAGGTTTCCCGTTCTTATCCTGGCCTTTATCAAGAGGGATTAATCTGCATGCAGTGAACTCTTTCAGACAGCTATGATGGATATCTTCTCTACAAAGGCGCCTTGCAACAATTGCTATAGACTCAGCAAGTGTCACTGATGCTTTGCCAAATGATTTGCTGCAGATGATATGCTTCCACAAATCTGAGTCCGTTAGTGTTGGGCCGCCTGATCCATCCAAATATAAACAAGCCCTCTTGACAGTCTCTGTGTCAATCCTCTCAAATATCACTTCCTGAGGTGGAGGAGTACTGTGAGGGTGCAGAACAACTGGATCTGCTTTAACAGCTGGAGGGTGTTTCTCCCCAAGGACCTGTTTAATGTTTGCTGTTAGGCTGTGAACTCCTAAGGTGTCATTGGAACTGTCAACATATTTGGTGGCTTGTTTAACTTTCCCAAGAAGCATTAGTCGGCAGAAACTCTTCTTCCTGGATTCCTCGCTGATTTTTTGTTGCTGCACCAAGGCTTTCTGAATACTCCTGCACTCCATCATTAGATCGTCAAGTTCTCCATTTTTCCATTTAACCAAACGCTTGGTGAGATATGTTACATGGTCTCTTGCTTTTGACTTGCTTGACGGTTTTTGCAACATGATTGGCAAGAAGATATGAACCAGTGCGAACGATAGCCTTTCCCACTTGGTAGCATCTGCAAATAAGAGGATGAGCCGAGTCAGTTCTTTTATAAAGTCGCTACCTGATTTACCTCTGGGAACTAGGAAAAGATTCTTTCTCCATGTCACCATCTCTTGATAAACAGCTTGGACTTTCTCAGCTATCAACTCTTCACCAACCATTGAGCCCCAATTAATTTTGTTTGCTTTCACTGCTTGACAAGTATCACAAAACCATATCTCTTCATTATCCATCTCAGCGTACTCGGTTTCACTGATAAACAAACAAGGTGCATGGAACCATTCTTCACAGCCATCACAACCCAATGCCTTATCCGAATCCCCCACAACACTCCTACACACGGGACAGTTATAACAGATATCATTTTCCTCGTCAGGAGCATCAATGATCTGCTGGTTCTCTACATTATCCCTACATTTCTGACAAACCCACCGTTCACTGTCCACTGGTGCAGACTTGCCAAGACATTTAGGATGGAAAAATGTCTTACAGGAATCACATTGAATGCTACAAGGTTCTGATATAAGATCTTTGGGACAGATTCCACATAACAGAGAAACAACAGGTGTAACATAAGCAATACCTTCAGAAGACAGGTGTTGAGATATCTCCGGATCACAGGTGTCTGGTAGCTGTACACTCTCTGTTTCTGCTGTCTTGTCTTCACCGCTGTTTGTTATCATCGTAGCGGACTTTCCATTGTCATACCTCAATAAATGTAATAGATTTGTAGTGTTGTAATTAGTTTAAAATTTATGCTTATATGTGATTGAGTGGTGTCAGGGATGGAGGGTGGGGGAGGTGTGGGCGGGAAAGTGACAATTACAGTACAATGTCAAAAAAATTTAGTCTTCTGTTGAGGTTGAGAAGGAAATGCCAAATGGTCTGGACTTTAAGGATTTGGCAATTTTAGGAAGAATGGGGTCCCAGAGGGGACTACATTTGGGTGCGCGGTCTGTTCTGTTCATGGATGAATTAAAGTATATTAAAATTGAAAATGTAGGTTTTTTTTTCAATTTTCACCCGGGATATACTTTAATATACTACATTATATTTATATGTGAAAAATGTCAAATGTTGTTTTATTTAATGTGTAGTATAGATTTGATTCACGATGTCAATCCTTCGCAGCTCGGTGAGGTTGCTCTAACCAGAGCCCTCTCGCTTGCAGTAGCGCACGACCGCCGTAGGCGGCAAAATATATGTATATATATATATATCAACTATCAACTTGTGAAACAAGCGCGTCACGCAGTACGCGTATACACATGGCTATGTGAATCGGTGAGGCACAGTGGTGCATTTCGCCGATCTACCGAAGATGTGGTTGCGAGAAAAATTATTTGATGCGCGGCGCGACCCAGTAGTGCATCGCGATACAAGTATAGATTAAATTTACCTTTCATGTAAAGTTAGTTTTGTTCGAAGATATTGATACTTGACCAATTTATGAGCCAAAATATTTGGAGGACTTCACTTCACATAGCCATGTGCCTACGCGTACTGCGTGACGCGCTTGTTTCACGGCGGTCGCGCGCTACTGCAAGCCACAGGAGGAGCTAAGTGCAAAGAAACTGTCACTAACTGCTACAAACTGCCACTAACTGCCACTAACTGCCACAAACTGCCACTAACTGCCACAAACTGCCACTAACTGCTACAAACTGCCACTAACTGCCACTAACTGCTACAATCGCGCCCACGCATTTGCGCGCGACAGTAGCAGTTAGTGGCAGTTAGTGGCAGTTAGTGGCAGTTAGTAGCAGTTAGTGGCAGTTTTTATGCGCGTCGGGATTTCAAATCGAGCGCTCATCAATTTTTATAATAGCAAGTCCGCAGCGTTTAGAGCTGCATTGTTGATTATTGGGCAGCGCTCAGCCTGTCATTCCGCCGAATCTCTATTCATTAATGAACATGATAGCCTGAGGTTCCCAGGTAACATTGTTGACTAAACCAGACTGTGCACGTTGTGCTAGATGTCAAATGTTGCAGATAGCGTATACGTTTTTTAAAACTATGTTTTAATTTGATTTGACTTGACTTAACTTGTAGTAAACGGTCGGCCGTTTTACAACACGGCAATGACTGCTTGTGTTAGTTTCGACACTAAATATTTTGTTCTCGCTGCATGAGTATATAAATGTTTGATATGAATTATGAAATGAGAAGTCGTGTATTATGTAATATAATAGATTCAGAAGGTAACACGACTCCTGTCCGACAGCGACATCTGTCCGACAGCGACATCTGTCCGAATCAGGGTACCAGAAAAAAACGACATCTGTCCGAAATTGTGACCTGATTTCAATACGACACATTTCCAATTAGAGACATGATCTAAACTGTTACTTGCTAAATTGTATACGTAACATGTCCAATTTGAGATATGATCTGAGCCATAGTTTACTACCACAGTTTATTTTAATTTGATGTCGATAAATTGGACAATAGTTTCAATGTTATTTAAATGTTATAAATTAATTCAATATAATACAATATCACAGAATCAAATCTAAAGCATAGTCAAATTTCCGATAGCTTTAAGGAAATCCATAGGGTTGCTGTAGTTGTCGTAATCATCTACAATTCTCTGAGGTTGTCGATCATAACGGATCCATTTGGGTGCACGTGGCTCAGGTAGTTCCCGCCCGTCTCTTTTGGTTTTCTTCACGTCTGTAAGGGCTTGTTCTGCTTTAAGGCAATCAAGGAATTTCCTTGATTGTGGGCTTCGAGCAGGACAGCATTGAATGGAATCCGTGATGCCAACCTTCTGCGATGTTGGATGAGCGAGGAATCCTCATCTGTGCAGCTTAACGTGTTGGACGGTCGTTTCAGCATGGTGGACAGGGTGAGTGTGGTCAGGAGTAGGAGTGATCAGTTGTCTGTCCACGGTACGGATTCGGGCTCTGCAACCGTTTCGGAAATCCGAACATTTCCAGTAGGAGGTGTCGTCTCTTCGCTTGTCGAAGACGTATCTGAAGCCATTTAGGATAGGGTTCTCCGAGCCTTGTTTGCGTCCAGGGATAAACTGAAGATTGGTTGCCATTGTGGATTGCGATAAGTGATCTCCATACTGCTGTCCTATATGTACTCATGTCCTGTGATGTGATCGACAGCTTGTTAGGGTACGGCTAGCACGATCCTGTTCTCAACTAGTCAATCACGTATCGATGGATCAGATCTTAAGGGATCACATCAGCTTTAGAACGTCACGAGATTACCTGTGAGCTTGTGAAATGCGAATGTGAACCGAAATTACAATATGATCCGAAGTTCGGACAGATGTCGCCAAAGACGACTCCTGTCCGACAGCGAAATCTGTCCGAAATCCCTAATTCAGCTTTCGGACAGATGTCGCTGTCGGACAGATGTCGCCCAATCGCTATTAGGAAAACTGCTGTGATAGACCGGAGCGCAGCAAAAAATTTAATAGCTTGTCCTGGACCGAATTCTACCAAATATTTACTACAAGTATGACACTTTTCGGATTTAGAAGGGTGCTGTCCAGACTATGAGTATGTTAACGGTGCGCGGTGATATCATTGAAGCTAAAGTCGGCACTAAAAATTAAAGTAAATATACCTCACGCCACACACTAATTGCATACGTTTGTAATTTTATTGTCTCTTATCAGCTTGCTCCTACCCGAACGCCTAACGGAGAGATTACTTTGTTATTTTACGTATCTGACAGGTAAAAATTAATAACAATAAATTTCACCTACTGAACGTATTCATAATAGAAAAGTTGCTAGTTTGGTTCTCCACCGTGCAATAGGATCTGTTTCACGTTCCGGTTCACTCTTTAAGATAAAAGCCTCTAATCGATGATTTTGCCCTTATAGCTTAGTTGTACTTGTAGTGAATTCGTACGGAACGTTCACTAAAAATAGTTTGTGAACGCGTTCGCTAAAAGATTTTAACGTTTGGAACATAAGGAACGTTAAAACAGGGCCTCCCACGGATTAAACAGTTTTGTGCGGAGAAAGAAGTGAAGAGAGAACGAAGCCAAAGAGTTCTCCGACAATTGTTCCAGCCAGCCTCACCGCAGCAACGCCAACAGCAAGCAGGGACTTATTCTAATCCATGCAGCATATATACAACGCTGACCAAGAATGGACACAGGACATGCCACGGTACCACTATAATATTTGATTTGATTCTCCGTGATAGCACTAGCAGTAGCAGAATTTGCTGCTTGTAATTCCTGGGCGTTGCTAAACCTGTCATTCCGCCCTATCTGCTATAGACATATTTTTAATCGCCATAATATGTTCAATGTGTTTAACTTAATAAATGCAAAAGCCTGAGCGAGGTACCGTACCCAGGTAAATTGATCTTTCCAAGTTGAATTTGCGTTTCTGAAACCACTCTCTGCACTGGTAATTGTATTTAAAAGGGAACACAAAATGATGAACGTGACCAAAATTATTCCCCGCGCGACGCGATAGCCGATAACTGATAAGATTCTCTTTCAGCATTCAGTTTCAGTTAATTCTGGGTAATTCGCGCGTAAAATCATATTGACACGTGTGCGTTCCATGTTCTCAGAATTAGGCAACGGTAAGTTTATAATCTTTAACTTTAACTGTTTGGAAACAGGTGTTGTTATTTTATGCTGGGAATCCCAAAAAGTGCTTGATCGGCCAGTTCATCATTGTGTCTCGCTAAATACTTGGCTAGTTTCATTATGCTTCGACTAATCATCACTGTTGGATTGGGGATGGTATTCAACTGTTGAGGGCCTACTGTAACAGCCATTAATACGCTTATAGTTATCAAACAGCAACTAACCGATATCCAATGGGTCTCAGCCATAGATTTAGAACAATATAGGCTCAACGGTGGCTCGGAAAAGTAGGTATAATCTTCATGGTATGGTCTTATATATGATTTTGGTCTATTAGAACGAGTTTTAAGTGAAATATATCCTCCAGAGATGATTATGAATAAAAATAATACTTCAGTTCGTGAAACTGACTTTTTAGATATTAGTCTTACTATCACTATCAATATTTATAAGGGAAAATTTTTTTAAAAACTTTACGACAAGAGGAACGATTATAATTTTGATGTCATTAATTATCCCTATTAGATGGGAATAATCCCAAAGGCCAGTATTATGGTAAATTTATTAGTCAGTTAGTTCGTTTAGCTCGTATTAATAGTTCTTATAACAGTTTTATTTTGGATTGTAAAAATTTAGTTCGTAAACTTGCACGACAAAGTTTTAATATTGCTGCACCTTGCGCAAACGGTTTGAAATCTTTGTCGACAAGTATTTTAACATTTGGGGAAAATTTGGGATTAATTTTACTTCGGAATATGTATTTTAGCATGACGTGTCATTCTTTTTTTTAGTTCAGTTCGTTTTCAATTTTTAATCTTAATTTTAATTTTCAGTACGTTTTACCTAACAAAATCATTTTTTACTTTTAGCTAGCAGAATGGTTTTCAGATTGCATTAATGAACTGTGCTATGAGATGGTCCCAAGTCCAGACGCCATTTTATTCTTTGTAATTTTCAATAACCCTGTCTAGTCATTGACTACTGATTTATGAAATCACTAATCCTTTCGATTTCTGTGCCACTAACTGCCTTGATTTCATCAGTCCCTTTAATTATATTGATAGGTTCATGCGCAAATTTACCTAGTTTAGCCGTCATTAATTAGGTACAGACCACTGAAAATAGTTTGTGAACGCGTTCGCTAAAAGATTTTAACGTTCGCAACATAATGGTAAAGGAACGT